ACCTATCAGATTGACAACGATTAAAGAATTTAATGATACCCAATGTTATCAAAGGTCTGGGCAAACCAGGTACTCCTAGAGAGTGATGGAAATGTACACTCCTTTTGAAAGAGAAATTTAGTAATATCTGTCAAATACTGCATAATCTCAGAAATTCCATTCCTAAAAATGCACACTGTACAAAAATCTAGTATACAAAGGTATATGGGATATATGGCAAGCTGTTTGCAGCATTGTGAATAGTAGCAGAAAAATCAAAGTAGCCAAGGGCCGGCCAAGTGGCTCAGCTGGTTAAGGGCCGGCCAAGTGGCTCAGCTGGTTAAGAGCTCGCTTGGGAGTACCAGCTCTGAGCAGCAGGGCAGCAGTTTGGATCCCACATTGAGGGCCAGTGACGCTCGCCCTCTACAGCTAAGATGATGAACAACAGCTTGACCTGGAGCTGGGCTGCTGTGAGTCACCGGCAGGCGCAGTGGGCTGCAGTGGGCTGCCGTGGGCTGCCGTGAGCTACGTGAGTGGCTGGCAAGCCAGCGTGAGCGGCTGATAGCCGGCGTGAGATACCAGGAGCCACTGTGAGCTGCCGACCAACGATCGGCGACCGATTGCCTCACCCGGGAAGAGCGCAATGATCATACCAACATCGGCCAGTGAGGCGATGTCCTCCACAACTAGACTGAAGAACAAAAACAGCAATTTGTCTACCTGTCTGTTCCCCTTACCCGATTCCCCAATGCTGTTCCCCAATAAAATCTTAAAAACAAAACAAAAAAAAAACTAAGTAGCTGAAACGTCCATTAGTAGAGGGCTGGTTAAATATTCTTACATCTGTAAAAGAATTATTTTATAGCTATAACTCCCCCCCCCTTTTCATATCATACTATAAAACGTTTTGTTTAGATAGGGCCTACTGAAGTTTGTACAGGCTATCTGCTCTTATATGAAATAGCTCTGGACAGTCGTCTTGAGAGTTCTTATGTATGCGTTTTACAATTTCTTTGCTGGTAATGGACACTTCTGATATCAGAGTACCTTCCTATCATGTTACAGCTTATTCTTATTATA